ACCTCTCCCCTCCTAATTGAGATTAAGGGATGAAAAAAGGGCAGTTCGACGGAGAATTAAATTCTCCATCAATCGATCCGCGTTGTATCCCTTAATCTCTGTAACAAAAAAATATAAACTGCCATGAAAGTCATGGGCCACTGAGAAAAATTATAGTTTCACGGCGCAGTGACTCCCGCTAATTAAAAATTCACCTCTCCCCTCCTAATTGAGATCGAGGGATGAAAAAACAACAATTCGACGGAGAATTAAATTCCCCATCAATCGATCTGCGTTGCATCGCTTAATCTCTGTGACAAAAAAATACAAACTGCGACAAAAGTCATGGGCCAGTGAGAAAAATTATAGTTTCGCGGCGCAGTGACTCCCGGTAATTAAAAATTCACCTCTCTCCTCCTAATTGCGATTAAGGGATGAAAAAAGGGCACTTCGACGGAGAATTAAATTCTCCATCAATCGATCCGGGTTTATTAATGGAGAATTTAATTCTCCGTCGAACTGCCCTTTTTTCATCCCTTAATCTCAATTAGGAGGGGAGAGGTGAATTTTTAATTACCGGGAGTCACTGCGCCGCGAAACTATAATTTTTCTCACTGGCCCATGACTTTTGTCGTAGTTTGTATTTTTTTCTTACAGAGATTAAGGGATGCAACGGGGATCGATTGATGGAGAATTTAATTCTCCATCACACCGTCTGGGTTTCATTCTTTAATATTAATTAGCCAACAAATGACTCACCTGAAAAACATTAAGAACATGTTGAGGACGAGGAGGGCATAAGTTCCCCTCCGAAACTATCCCTGTGACAGCGGGATGCGGGACTGCTACTGCCCAGTTCCCCGCACAGGCTGTTCGCCCAGCCGTCAGATTCGACCGTGGCGCCATCCCTCCGTTGGAGTCGAACTATTTTTGGCTTGGGGTCACTTCAACCCCGAGATCTGGGGGGCTATTCTCAAGAAAAAGCCGCTTTTTCCACCGCTTTTTCGAAACTGCGATTTTCTGCAGCGAGGGGGCGACACGATAGTAAATGACACAAAGTAATGACTTTGCAAACGCATTATGCGCATTTGCGCCTAAATGCCCCTCCATCTGCAATTTTTCATTTTGGAGCAGCTATAATTTTTATTGGAGTAAAGTGTTAATAATTCACTTCAATACGTGTTACAAATGAGATAAATACTTGACCGATCAATTAGTGAATAGAATTNATAGTAAATGACACAAAGTAATGACTTTGCAAACGCATTATGTGCATTTGCGCCTAAATGCCCCTCCATCTGCAATTTTTCATTTTGGAGCAGCTATAATTTTTATTGGAGTAAAGTGTTAATAATTCACTTCAATACGTGTTACAAATGAGATAAATACTTGACCGATCAATTAGTGAATAGAATTGATTACCTATCGACCACTGAGAGTAGATATTGATGCTGGTAAATATCTGAGTTTTGATTTTTGATGTCGGAGCGAAAGTGGAATTTCACACAGCCATTGTATGAAATCTTTGCTAACCCTGTTATTATTTTCATTAATAAAAGCCAACAAATAAATCCTATGAACCAATTGAACCTGTAGTATTTACTGAACACCGAGTCGGGCAAATCCTCCAGTGGATTTGAGGTACGTCTAATTGCCCTACGTCGCGCATTTAATAATCTATGTAAGCCCCGTTGATGGTCTTCGGCTTCTTCATCAACTAANGTATGAAATCTTTGCTAACCCTGTTATTATTTTCATTAATAAAAGCCAACAAATAAATCCTATGAACCAATTGAACCTGTAGTATTTACTGAACACCGAGTCGGGCAAATCCTCCAGTGGATTTGAGGTAGGTCTAATTGCCCTACGTCACGCATTTAATAATCTATCTAAGCCCCGTTGATGGTTTTCGGCTTCTTCATCAACTAACACTGCACCTGTTATATTATCCGCCATCATCACGGTTGTTTTGGTTTAAATTTCTCTAAAGTTGACTTATCATAGCTCTCCCAAATGTGAAAAAAATCAGCCAGATTTGAGGTTTAAAATGCGTTTACAAAGTCATCAATTCGTGTTATTTAGTATCGTGTAGCCCCCTCGCGGCAGAAAATCGCAGCTTCGAAAAAGCTGCGGAAAAAGCGGCTTTTTGTTGAGAATAGCCCGCCAGGAGGCCGAACTCATATGGGCGATGCGCCTGATTATGAGACGGGAAGGCGGTCGGCGACCATAATTCTATATGTGAACACAGGCGTCGCTGCTGTTCCTCTGCAAGCACTCCATACATGGTGTGAGCATATGTTAGTAGATTCCTAATCACTATCGCATGTATGCATTCAAATGTCATAGCCCAGTTCACGTTCATTGTTTACCTTTTTGTTTTGCGGGTAATGTGAATTATAATATTAATTAAT